ATTGTGCCCATCTAGTGTCGTTGCGAGTATTTCCTGTGTAAACCCGAAATTTCCCCCGCAGCGGACTTTGACTCTCTCTACCTTTTCCCGTATGGCCAGTGACGTGCTGTCGACTAAGCGTGCGTCTATCTCCGGCAAGCAACGACTAAGGGTCACCTGCAGTTTTCGTGCGGTTGCGGTATTAACTAAACTGTGGCTTGCTCCTCCGTCGATAAAAATCTTCACTGCTGCTCCCTGTATTTTCCCGTGGATCAGTACTGGGCAATCCGTCGCTATACCCTCCGTATTCGTCTGAGTCCGATCGATAGCATGAATCGGTACTGTGACTCGGTGAGGGTCGGTGGGGTTGGGCGAGCAGGCAGTCTCGTCAGTAGTTGGCCCGATTCCTACTGACTGCTCGCGTTTCCCTGCTTTGGAGACTCCCTCCCCTGCTCTGCTCCGCGGCGCCTTAGCTCCTCTTCACAGAATATGTTGTTTGTGTAGCCTGCAGTGGGGCACTCAATAGTGAGTACAGCGCCTTAGGGTTTGCTATTTGTATCCTGCTGCTTGCTAGTTCAATTATTCCCTTCTCAATTCCATTCCTTCACACAACGTAGCTCGTACTTGGCGCCTCATTGCTCTAGTCCTACTGTGGCCTAGGCTACTAAGCCTAGGCCGTGCTCCTACTCTATCTCACACATCTGGGCATTCGCTCTTGCGATGGCCCGGCCTGTTGCAAGCAAAGCAGCGCCCCTTCAACGGCGCGGCAGCTCCATTCGTCGCAACAGCGTGAACAGTGGCGTGCTCGATTGGTCCCCGAGGACGATGTCCATAGTAGGACCCCGGTCTCGGACAGCGTAAAATGTCGATTTTCTCGGCGAGCACGAGAATCTCGTTGAAGTTCGAGAGCCCGCGTAGCATGATTTCGTGCGAGATGTCCGGCTTTAGCCCTCCGACGTAACGGTCCACCCGCTCCCGCTTCGTGCATGTAGCCGACTTGCTCGCACAATGCGAGAAAACCACTCGTATAGTCTTGAACCGATCCAAGCTGCCGCCAAGTGCGCAATCTCTAACGCGCCGAAATAGAAGCCGCGATCGGCTCAAAGCGCGCCCGAAGCCATGCGCACCACGAATCCCACGTGCTGTATTGGGCGGTCTCGCAGAATGAACTCCAGGTGACAGCTGGGCCCGTGGGCCCTTCCTCTTGCGACGGTGGCTCGTAGGCGCGTGGCGACGTCACGATGACTCGCCACCAGTCCATGTTGAGGCCCCTTAGCAGCGAAACGGCATACCAAATCTTCGCTGCGTCTGACTCGACGTAATTTGCGTCGAAGAAGACATTCATCGTGAAGACCCACGATTGAACCGTTGGACCTCCACGCTGGTTCGGGTCGAAGCAAGGCGGGCGTTGCGGCTTGAGTGGCATTGATGCCATAATGGCCTGTTCGCCACTTGTCGCCGCGAACTCCAGAGAGTGCGTAGAGCCGAGTGGCCCATACCCAGAGCCTGTTGGCTGCCTCGTTTACCTGATGACCTACACACGACCCGACCTGGCATACCCTCTTAGCATCTTGGCACGCTATGTTGCTCCTGGAAGACACCGACCAGAGCACATGGCTGCACCGTAGAGGGTGTTGCGCTACTTGTGCAGTACGTCGGGCATGGGGCTAGTGGTTGGAGGGCGGCGTTCAGTGGTCCTCACTGGGCACGCAGACGCTTCTTGGGCTGACGACCAGGCTACGCAGCGGTCGTCACAGGGTTACACCTTTAGCCTTGGTTCCGGCTCTGTTTCGTGGCGGTCTACCCGCTTGTCTTCTGTTCTCGGCTCCAGCTGTGAGGCTGAGATCTACGCGGGGTCCATGGCTGCACAGGAGCTACGCTGGCTCACCTACCTGCTGACTGACCTAGGAGAGCCGCCTCGTTCTCCTCCAGTCCTGTACGTAGACAACAAGGCCATGCTGGCCTTGTGTCGGGAGCACAGACTGGAGCACAGAACGAAGCACATTGCTCTTCGCTACTTCCTTGCTCGTGAGCTGCAGCAGCGTGGTCAGCTGCGCCGTGCTTACGTGGCCTCTGGGCCAACACTGCTGATATCTTTACCAAGGCACTTCCGCATTGTGATCATCAGCACTTCTGTACGATGCTAGGTCTTGTGCCTACTTGGCCTCACTTGCTCACTTCTTGACCTTACTTGTACTGTGATCTTTCTATACCTGCACTAGCTTGTTTATCTTTATATATGATCTTGCATGTGAACTGGCCTTGTGGCCTTGAACTTGTGCTCGGAATGTGTGGTGACGTTGTGATCCTCCCTGAGCTTGCTTTGCTTTGCTTGACAGGTCTTGTGACCCCTTGTTCTCCCCCACTTTGCCTATGGGGGTATGTCAAACTCATATGTTATAGTCTGTGTACGTTGTAGTGGGGTAGACAATATGGGGTACAAAACTTTTAGGTTTTCCTACTTGTACCCACCTGTTTCCTAGTGCATTTATTCCTCGTTCTTTCACAAGTGGCGTGCTGTCGACTAAGCGTGCGTGTATCTCCGGTAAGCAACGGCTAAGTGTCACTTGCAGTTTTCGTGCGGTTGCAGTATTAACTAAACTGTGGCTTGCTCCTCCGTCGATAAAAATCTTCACTGCTGCTCCCTGTATTTTCCCGTGGATCAGTACTGGGCAATCCGTCGCTATACCCTCCTTATTCGTCCGAGTCCGATCGATAGCATGAATCGGTACTGTGACTCGGTGAGGGTCGGTGGGGTTGGGCGAGCAGGCAGTTTCGTCAGTAGTTGGCCCGATTCCTACTGACTGCTGGCGTTTCCCTTCCTTGGAGACTCCCTCCCCTGCTCAGCTCCTCTGGGCATTCGCTCTTGCGATGGCCCGGCCTATTATGCAAGCAAAGCAGCGCCCCTTAAATGGTGCGGCAGCTGCATTCGTCGCAACAGCGTGAACAGTGGCGTGCTCGATCGGTCCCCGAGGACGATGTCCATAGTAGGACCCCGGTCTCGGACGGCGTAAAATGTGGATTTTCTCGGCGAGCGCGAGAATCTCGTTGAAGTTCGAGAGCCCGCGTAGCATGATTTCGTGCGAGATGTCCGGCTTCAGCCCTCCGACGTAACGGTCCACCCGCTCCGCTTCGTGCATGTAGCCGACTTGCTCGCATAATGCGAGAAAACCACTTGTATAGTCTTGAACCGATCCAAGCTGCCGCCAAGTGCGCAATCTCTGACGCGCCGAAATAGAAGCCGCGATCGGCTCGAAGCGCACCCGAAGCCCTGCGCACCACGTATCCCACGTGATGTATTGGGCGGTCTCGCAGAATGAACTCCATGTGACAGCTGGACCCGTGGGCCCTTCCTCTTGCGACGGTGGCTCGTAGGCGCGTGGCGACGTCACGATGACTCGCCACCAATCCATGGCGGGGCTCCTTAGCAGCGAAACGGCATATCGAATCTTCGCTGCGTCCGACTCGACGTAATTCGCGTCGAAGAAGACGTTAATGGTGAAGACCCACGATTGAACCGTCGGACCTCCACGCTGGCTCGGGTCGAAGCAGGGCGGGTGTTGCGGCTTGAGTGGCATTGGTGTCATAATGGCCTGTTCGCCACTTGTTGCCGCGAACTCCACGTGCCGACGGGCTTCACGAGGCTCCCGCGGGCTTGGTGCGACCCTGTTTCCTCCCATGCCAGGCATCGGCTGGGCGGCGCCATCGCTGGCTGTGCCTGAGCGCTGTCCCACGCTGTTGTTTTGTGTTGGTGTGCCAGACGAGATGACGATCGGCTCGTCCGATTGTGCAGATGCGTTTGTCGGTGCGTGTGGTGGCGCTGGAGTGTTCATCGTTGATTGCTGACGCGCGGAGTCACGTTCCGCCGTGAGCGTCGCAATTTCGAGCGCCGAATCTTCAAGTTGGCGCACCAGACGGTCGAGCTGCTCCTGCGTCAATGTGGCGAGCGTGAATTCGGCCATGGCGGGGGTGTTGGGCGAGCTCAGCGAGAGCCTCGGTCGTGGCCGTGTGTGCTTACGAGAGAGCACTACGAGCGGTGGTGCTGTGTCGCTGAGAGACGTTTACCCCCCCAAAAAAATGAGATAGTGGGGAAGCGAAGGTGTGGGTGCGGTCCGAGAGGGGATCGTAGGCTCTGAATACCAAGTGTTACGAGTGCAATTGAGTGAACGAACGAGAATTGCACTATCGAAGCAAGAGTACAATGAGCGGAGGCATGAGCGAAGAATATTTAGCGAAACTACAGTGGTAATGGTAATGGACTGTGGTTGTCGCGCGACGGGCCTAGGACTGAGGTTGGGAAAAGTGTCGAAGCGGAGGCCCGGAGCGCAGGTTATCCGCCGAGCCGTGAGGTCGGGGTGTGATGTGCGAAGGTGGCGGGCGGATTGTCGATGCTGACTGTGGTGCTATAGTGGTGTACGCGTTGAGCAGGGATGCGAAGGAAAAGGAATTTTCCTTAGAGGGAACTCGGGCATCGAGGTTGGGTGGAGGTCGGGAAGCAGAATGATTGAAAGCGGCGCGGGATAAACCCAGAATCGAGAAATTCAGGCCGAGCCTGTTCTTCCACAGGTTCGGCGCCAGATAACTTCTGTGGTGCTTGTGCTTGTGCTTTGCATTTGCACCCGCTGCTTGAGCTTCACATCTTTCTTGTGTGCCTGGGAGGCAGGTTCCCTGAGGGCCCCGTAAAGGTGCTGTGTTCCAAGCTCGAGCCTAGCGCATAGCCTATCGGATGGCCGAATTTCGCACCCAATTGCGGTGCTTGATTTCTTCAGCTCAATGCGAAAGCGAAAGGCCGTCGTGAAAAGTGAAGTGTGGGATCGAGGTTCAGGGCGCGTTGTGACTCGACATTGTATTTACAGTACTACTGTACCGATGCTCTTGATCAATACACCACGCTTCCAGGCCATGGCTGATTTGCTTGGTCCTTCAACGAGGGAATCGCCTCGTTTGTACGACTAAGCCATACACGCTGCTGCCTGTGACTTTCAAGATCCGACCGCTACAATCGTTTCTGTCGCGTAAACATGAGCGACGAGCCATTCACAGTCTTCGTCTCTGATGACGTGGCGCCAGCGGACGTTGAGCACTGGCTGTCGTTCGACGGCGCCGTTCTACCTGACCTTCCGCTTTCCACCTACCCGCACTCGCAGGCGCAACCCCTTCCGGACGCACCGTTCATTCCTCTAGATCCGTCACTCGCTTTTCTGATAGGCGACGTTCCTACAGGGGACGTTCCGATAGTCGACGATGCTGCTATACGTGATTCGCTTTTAGGAGACGCTAACACAGACTATGTTCATGTACGCGACCAAGTCGAAGTTAGTCGCGAATTGCGATTGGACGATTTTCCTGCGGAGCAGACGGAGAGGTGGAATCAGTTTGATAGCGGAGATTCCGTGCGACAAACAGACACACGCGAGGCGTGTGCGGACGTATCTGCTGAACAAGCACACGCACGTGCGAATATATCAGGCTTCGCGGATTTCATCGATACGCCGGGGGACGCGAGCGGAGTGCTCCATAGACATGACCTAGCCACGCCTGAGAACGACCCAGTAGGAAGGGCTGATTTATTACGTCCGGAAGCATGTTATGATGTCCCGGACGCGGGGAACGTGCTTGCAAGCAGCAATCTTGCGGCCAGAGATTTAGACATGTGCTTGCCAGGGCAGGCTGGCCCCTTCACGTGGCTTCCTGATTCACCTCGGGATGCGCAGGGGGGATCAGAACAAGGTTTCCCTGCCATGTCAGCATCCGTTCTGCGTGCATTGCAGCCTGACGGTTCAGGTCCGCAGGTGCTGACCTTCGAGGAAGCTTCGGATAGGCTGTACGCGGTGATAGTAGCGCCAGCGGCGTTCCAGCGGGCGAGGGGCCGCTTGGAGCAGGTGCAGCACGAGCAAGCACAGACGCCGCATCTGCTGCTGCTAGAGCAGGACGACGTGCAAAATCAGCCGCCGATGCCGCATCAGCAGACGCCGCAGCAGCAGTCGCAGCTGCATTTGCAGTAGCATTCGCAGCAGCAAGTGCGATACCACGATCCGGGCGAACAGCAGCAGCAGCAGGAGCAGCAGCAGCAGCAGCAGGGAGCCCTTCAGTCCAGCAGAACCGCCAGCACGCGTCCTCTCCCATCCGCCATCCATGCCCGTCCCACCCCCCAGCGCTCCTCTCTCGCGCAGCGCCCCTCACCCTCCCTTGGCGGCGGTGATATAGGAGTGGGTGGACTCAGAGGGCCGTCCGCCGACCCTCCCTCCGCTCCGCCCCCGTGCAAGCTGCCTCGGCGCCCCCCGGACCTCTCCTCCCGCCTCGCCGCCGTGCTGCAAAACATCAACCCGCCGCGCCCTGCCCTTCCGCGGCTTCCCCTCCCGCGCTTGCCCAAGCCGGGCCTTCCTTCCCCCGCTGCGCCTGCAGCTCCCGTTGCCTCTGCGCCTGTTGCTGCACCTCGGCCTTTCGCCCCGCCGCCGGGATCCTCCGCAGCAGCCGCAACAATCCCGCCACCACCAACAACAGCAGCAACAGCAGCTGCAGTCGCAGCAGGAGGCGCATCATCATCATCATCAGCAGCAGCAGCAGCAGCGTCCGCCGTGTCTGGCACAAAGGCGCTGGGCGGATTCACAGGGCTCACATGCGCTCTGCCTCTCATGCCCACACCACCGCTCGCCTCTGCTGCTCCTCCCACCAGCAGCGCTGCTGCTTTTGGTTTGGACCAGGGGGCGCGGTGGCCTCCGCACCTGCTGCAGCAAGGTGATTACTATCACTACCTTCAATCCCTGCAGCTGCCCCTGCAGCAGCAGCACCACAAAAACCAGAAGTGGCAAAACGAGAAGCGTCAGGATTATCACATGCAGCTGCAGCAGGCAGCCGCAGCAGCAGCAGAAGCAGGAACAACAGCAGGCGCCGCAGCAGTAGCAGCAGCAGCAGCGGCGGCAGCAGGATCAGCAGCGTCGCAGAGTGATACGCACAGCAGCGTACTGAGCAGCGGCGGGCGGCACAGCCACCGGTCAGCGCACAGCAGCGCGCCGAGCACTGCCCTGAGCAGCTTGTCGCGCAGTGCATCCAGCAGGGCGTCCTTCACTGCAGCCCACGTGGCAGGGGTGGGCCCGGAGAGGCCCCTGCACGTGGACGGGTTGTTGCCAGGCCCCATGAGTGGCGCGAGGGAGGGCATGCTGAAGCAGCAGCTCATGGCCATGGCTGAAGCCATGGCCGTTGATGACTCGGTGCGTGGGGCTGTTGTTTCGGAAGGTGGTGGGGATGGGGGAATGGTAGTCTTTCCCAAAAGCTCTTGAAATCGCCTATTCATCCCCACTCATTCTTACCAAACCCCGCCACTACCCCACCAGGTGCGGTGGCGGCAGTTCATGCGCCAGTTACGGAGGGAGGCGGCTGCCGGGGGGGACACGCTGCAGCGCATTGCCTTCCACGCGCTGGAGGCATTAGAGGCGCGCATGGATGGCACCGCACTCGTCCGCATGCACACCCCCATGAACGTCACCGTTGAGGTGCTGCCCTGTCCCTCCCTCCCACCCCACCATTACCCCCATCCACCCAACCGCCAACCCTGCCCCTTCCACCCAACCCCCAACCGTGCCCCCTTCCAACCAAACCTCACCCCTGCCCCCCTCCCTTCCCCTTTCCCCTCCCCTTGCCCCTCTCCTTGCCGCCACCCCTCTTCTTCTTCACCCCCCTCTCTTTCCATGAGTGCACCCACATGGACATCTCTGCTCAGGTAGTCCCCTCCCCGTCTCTCCCCTTTCCCATTGGGGCCATGTTCTGTACATGTTTTGGCTTTTGCTCGTGTATCTGTCGGGTTTGGGATTTAGAAGTTCAAGTATTCACAGAGGCTAGCCCGAGTGTCTCCCCCCATCCCTCACCCCCCCCTTACCCCTCCCCTTGCCCCCAACATTCCCCCCTCTTTCGATAATTGCACCCCCATGGCCGTCTCTGTTGAGGTAGTCCCCTTCCCTTCCGGCCCCCCTTCTCCCTCCGGGTCGCATGTGTACATGTTTTAGCATTTGCGTGTGTATCGGTCGAGTTTGGGTATTCAGATGTTCAAGCGGGATTCCAGCTTTTGCGTGTTTTTTGGTTTGGAGATCTCTGTTCGGGCAGCCTCCGTGTGTGCTAAGCTTGCACGCCCCGTGCACACCATGTGCCCCACACATGCCATTCAACCCATTCATCCCATGCATGTATGCCATGCGTCCCATGCAACCCTGCGTCCCCTGTCTCATGTGAGCAGGACTCAATGGCAGCGTTGGGCCATGGCGGAGAGCATGGAGTGCCGGCATTCATGCACCTCGCCAACATTGCAGCCGTGCATGAAGTCGTCCGCGCCTTCACCCAGCACCAACCACACACACACGCACACTCACATGCACACCCTCAGAGTCACCCCACCCACAGCGCCACTCCCCACAGCCATGCTCCCCATTCGGCTGCCACCCACCCACACGCTCCACACGCCCCTGTGCCTCCCGCCCAGCCTGCCCCTCCCCCTGTCGCCACCTCTCCCTTTACCGGCCAGTCCGCGCAGCGGCGGCGGCTGCACATTATAGCCGTTGGATTCTACGGCGGGCCACACTGGATCAACATCCTCATGCGCCTCGCCGCCCACTTCTCCACGCCGCCACTCCTCCCCACCACTGCCAATGACCTTCCGCCAAGTGGCGTCCCGGCGGGGGAAGCAGGGGCGGCACCAGGTGCAGCAGGTGACAACGCGATCGGTGCTCAGGGCGAAGCAGGGGCGTTTGGAGCAGGTTTATCTGAGGGAGGCGCAACCGCAGCAGGTGCGTCTGGTGGAGGCAGCAGCAGGTTTACCACCGCTGCTCCCTTCCCCACCTTCGCATCACCGCTCGTGAAAGTCTCGGCCATTGATTTCGGGGTGGTAAAAGTGGAGGAATTTCCGACAGGCCTGGTGCATCTGGGGAAGGAGTACCTGGAGCAGGTGGCATCTATGCTGGACCTCCCTCTCACCTTCCACGGCATAGAAACCACCCCCCAGGACTTCCACCCGTCACTAGTGGAGGTCGAACCAGGGGAGGAGATTGTAGTGCTGGCCAGTTGGGGCCTCATGGTCTTTCCAGACGACACAGTGCTTCGCTCCAACCCCCGCAACTCCATCCTCAAGTGGATCCGCGGGCTACGACCGTTGCTGCTCCTGCAGGTGGAGAACGACATCGACGCCAACGGGCCCTTCTTCCTCTCTCGCTTCCACGCTTCATTCATGAACTTTGCCGCGTTCGTTGAGTCCTTCGACTGCTCCATGCCGCACGCCGCCACGCCGCGCTTCGTCGCGGAAACCATCCTCGCGCGGGATTTTCTAAATGGGGTGGCATGCGAGGGCATGAACCGGTATGTGCGGTCGGAGCAGCTGGGCATGTGGGTGCATCGGATGAGAGTCGTGGGGCTGGATCTGGTGCCGATAGGGCCAGACACAGTGGCTGCTGGGAGGGAGGCCACAGAGGGCAGGGACAAGAGGTTCTGGCTGGAAGTGCATGCAGAAACCGGCGCCCTGCAGCTCAGCTGGCGTGGCGTGCCGTTGATCTTTATAGCCGCCTGGAAATGAGCATGGAATTGGTCTGGATGCTCGCTGTGGCCGCCTGGAGATGAATCTGTGACCGATTCTTACGGCTGCTGTGCTCCACAACTTGGCGGAGCATTGGCAAGGGCAGCATAGCCAAGCTCGGGACCACCAAGGTAGGTTCAGGCCTTATCAAACCAGGGTAGGTTCAGGCCGGCTGATGTCCTTGTTCCTCCTATCCCCTGCATTTCAACGTCTTGCCCTATTTTTCTGCACATGTTTCTTGTGCTCAACGTTTTGCTCTTGCTTGTGCCTGTCCATCTTGTCTCCCTTTCGGCTTTTCTTTTTCCTTGTGGGAACCCCCACTTGAGCGTATTGAGTTGAGACTAAATTAACACGTGTACCATCCCAACTGTTGCTGCAGGTTCCATAAACGGTGCTATAAATCTGTAAGTCATCCCATGACAGAGTTGTATGTCAAAATCCCAACCACTACACCATTGGGATAAAAAAACTTGTTAAGTAGCGGGTCAGTGCGCACATAACCCCTCAGGCCAACATGCTTGTAACTCTTCCCTATGATTTATCGGAGAATCACCAGTGGATCTCTGACACCCCCCCGCATTGAGATGCCCGAGGTGCACACACTAGAATTCGAATTCGAGACCTTCGCCCTCATACCATGTCAGAATCCCAACCACTAGACCATTGGGATAAAAGTGCTTGTTAAGTAGCGGGTCAGTGCGCCTATAATCCCCCAGGCCAACATGTCTGTAACTAGGCCCTCAGATTCGTTTTTTGCCTGTCTGATTCGTCAGACTAGTACACAATTTTAGTCTGAAAATCTCAAGACTTGGTATAAAAAAAAGGAGCTGAAATTTCGTAGTGTCCTAAAAAAAAAGTCTGATCATTCAAAAACAATGTATTCAATGTTTCATCGGAATATAATCAATGTTTCATTCATCTGCTACCGAAACACACAACACTAAAGGGATTTCCGATAAAACATGCTCTGACAGGGCGAATATATGTGTCAGGGCGAATCTTGTGGTGCGAAAGAGCGAATCTGCAATGTCAGGGCGAGTTTTCTGTGATTGGTCGAAAATTGTTGTGCTGTGACAGCGCAAATCTGTTGTGTCAGGGCGATTTTGCTATGATTGGGCGAAAATCTTGTGCTGTAAGGTTCGGATTTGCTGTGTCAAGGCGATTTTGCGTTGACATTGCGAATCTGTTGTGACGCGTCAGTCCGAATCACCAGTCAAGGACGCGTTTGTACTCTGAATGATCAGAGTACACTCTCAGAAAACTCTGAACTCACAGAGTTATGCCTTAAAAAAAATCTGAAAATTGGCCCAAAAAAGTTAGAGATTAACAGAGTAGACTGGAAAAAAAATCTGAAATACCTATCAGAGTTTTTTGTGCAAATCAGAGAAAAAAGTCTGACTTCGTAGGGCCTGGTAACAATCGTGTTAGGACCTGCTGCAGACTTCGACCTATTTAGTTTCCTAAACTTACGGTCGTGTTAGGACATGCTGCAGATTTCAACCTATTAAGTTATGTTGGTTTCTTGTCTAAAAACCCTTTCGAAGTTAGATTTCCTACCTTAACCGTCACTTCTTCCTTTCGTTTTATCTTCTAATCCTCGATTTCTTCCACCGCAAGGTTATGCACTACCCTTCTGTTATCTCCTCTCTGCTTCTCTCCACTTCTTCCCGTCTTCTGTTTTCTTCCGTTTCTCCTTTATTTTGATTTACATGTTTCTTACTTGCTCTTCCATCTTTCAGTTAGATCTTTCCACACTCCTCCATTTTTTCCCGTTTTAGCTTCTTGTTCTAACTCTTATTTTCTTCCCCACGCTGTTTCATGATTTCTTCCTCCTTGATTAAATTGATCTTCACGATTTTGCTCAGAAAGTTAGTTCCCTAGGTAGGAGCATATCTTCCTTCCATATTTTAATCGTCAGATTCCGTATCCATATCCGTTACTCTCAGGAAATTTCTCTCTGGTTTCTTCTACTTGTTAATAACTCTTCATTTTAGTTGTTGTTTAAACTTTTTCTGATTTCCATTTCTCTTTCTGCACACTAGTATACATCTTGTGTCATTCTCTGAGAGTTCAGAGTTTTCTGAGATTGTACTCTGATCATTCAGAGTACAAACGCGTCCTTGACTGGTGATTCGGACTGACGGGTCACAACAGATTCGCAATGTCGACGAATAATCGCCTTGACACAGCAAATCCGAACCTTACAGCACAAGATTTTCGCCCAATCATAGCAAAATCGCCCTGACACAACAGATTTGCGCTGTCACAGCACAACAATTTTCGACCAATCACAGAAAACTCGACCAGACATTGCAGATTCGCTCTTTCGCACCACAAGATTCGCCCTGACACATATATTCGCCCTGTCAGAGCATGTTTTATTTGTCAAAATCTTAGGCGAGAATGGTAAGATTTAACTAGGGCCTAGGCTTAGGAGCCCTGGCCCAACTTAGGTATCGAGTGGGTTTTCCTAGGGAGGAGAGAGTCGAGAGAAAAGTTGGGAGGAGAATGGGTTTCACTATAGGTTCAAGGAACATATAGCATAGGAAACAAAAGAAGAGGTGCACCACCTACAAACTTAATAACTACACTACAGCTAGTACTACATGCAGTTATAATAAATATAATTCTGACATCCCCCCGTAACTGCATGCAGGATTAGCTAAGTGCAGAGCACAACCTGCAGAGGTACACCAACAAACAATAAATCAAGCAACAGCAGGTACTCCAGGCGGGCTGACACAAGCTGGTCACCTCCACCATCTTCTCACCCTCCTCCTTCCCCTCCCCCACACTGCTGCTGGAGCAGCAGAGAGGGGGGGAAGAGAGGAGAGGTGGAGGGACGGCTGCTGGTTGCCTCACACCCGCCACCGCGATGCCACTCCCCCTGCTCCCCCACACCCTCACACCCTCCCCCCCAGCGGCAGCTGCAGCAGTGGGAACAAACGGAGGAGGAGGGGAAGGGAAGGATACGGCCCAGCACTCTAACACCCGCCACCCCCATACCCTCCCCCCCACGGCTGCAGGGAGACGAAGGAGGAGGGGGTGGGCGGGAAGAAAGCCGGGGCAGGTAGGTCAGGGGCGACTGCAGGGAATGCAGGTGCGGAGAGCACCGTCGCAGGCGCCAGGGGCGGGTCCGCGGCGGCTCAAGGGCACCGCCGCGGGCGCCAGGGGCGGGTCCGCGATGGCGCAGGGCACCGCCGCGGGCGCCAGAGGCGGGTCCGCGGGCGCCAAGGGCACCGCCGCGGGCGCCAGGGGCGGGTCCGCGACGGCAAAGGGCACCGCCGCGGGCGCCAGAGGCGGGTCCGCGGGCGCCAAGAGCACCGCCGCGGGCGCCAGGGGCGGGTCCGCGACGGCAAAGGGCACCGCCGCGGGCGCCAGAGGCGGGTCCGCGGGCGCCAAGAGCACCGCCGCGGGCGCCGAAGGCGGGTCCGCGGGCGCCAAGAGCACCGCCGCGGGCGCCAAAGGGGGCGGGTCCGCGACGGGTAGAAAAGAAAAACGTCACGCGCCCGAGGCGCGTGACCAGAATTACAGCAGCGGAAGCATTGGGCGGGCCCACAGGCCAGGACGAAACTCGCTCTGCTACCATGTCAAAATCTTAGGCGAGAATGGTAAGATTTAACTAGGGCCTAGGCTTAGGAGCCTAGGCCCAACTTAGGTATCGAGTGGGTTTTCCTAGGGAGGAGAGAGTCGAGAGAAAAGTTGGGAGGAGAATGGGTTTCACTATAGGTTCAAGGAACATATAGCATAGGAAACAAAAGAAGAGGTGCACCACCTACAAACTTAATAACTACACTACAGCTAGAACTACATGCAGTTATAATAAATATAATTCTGACATTATTGGAAATCCCCTTAGAGTTGTGTGTTCCGGTAGCAGATGAATGAAACATTGATTACATTCCGATGAAACATTGAATACATTGTTTTTGAATGATCAGACTTTTTTTAGGACACTATGAAATTTCAGCCTTTTTTTTATGCCAACTCTGAGATTTTCAGACTAAAATTGTGTACTAGTCTGACGAATCAGACAGGCCAAAAACGAATCTGAGGGCCTGCTGGGGAAGCGGTAGTATAAATTGTGAAATTGAGAAAGCTTACTTTCTTATTCTTATCAATTGGCATCGTTCTAATTACAAATGGCTTATTACAACATTTGCATCAACGTTGAACATAAGCTAGTGCAATCGAATAACACTAGCTAAGATGTACCCTATCCGAGTGGCATTACCAAGGCGGTTTACTCTGGGGTGGGTGGTGGGAATGTTGAGTGAGCCGTTTGAAAATCGAGAAACGTGGGTGGAGGGAATGAACTTCCAGCACGATGGGTGGATGTCGATGTGATGGTAACCAGATTTGAGGTCAATGGAGAACATCCAGTCCCCAACGCGCGCCAGGTCGGCGACACGGCTGAGCCCCCTGTACTTGAACTTGGGGACAATCAAGTTGGCGTTGACCTTCCTCAGATCAAGAATGAGCCTACATTTGTCTTTTTGCTCGACCACGTCAAGTGGACTTATGCACTTAAGCTCCGTTGCGGCTATCGGAACTGCCGCACCCGTCTCTATGAGTTCTTGGGTGGCGGTACGTGTGAACGTGGCATGCGTGTTTGCCTCGACATGATTGCGATCGTGGAAAAGTTGTGGTGGGCCGTGGCTCCATGGCAACCAGTAACCCTTGGCGATGACGGAGAGAACGAGGTGTGAAAGAGAGAACGAGAATGGAATGACTATGAAAGAAGTGAGTACAAATAGGAAACCCTAATTGGGTTGTACCCCCTATGGGATACCCCACTATAGCCTACACAATAGTATAAGCTATATAGTTCTGACACACCCCCATAGGCAAAGTGGGGGAGAACAAGGGGTCACAAGACCAGTCAAGCAAAGCAAAGCAAAGCTCAGGGTGGATCACAAAGTCACCACACATTCCGAGCACAAGTTCAAGGCCACATGGCCAGTTCACATGCAAGATCATATATAGAGATATACAAGAGT